GAGTCTACTAGTTTTCAACTGAACGCAGGCACAAATCCAAGTGATTTCTTTGCAGTGGTTTGAAGTTAATTGTTTGAAGTAAATAATAACTTTGTTAAACGGGAGCTTCGCCTGTAGCCTTAGCTAAATCTATATATTATGTACTAATATAGGATACAAGGAGTTCTTGTTCAACCACGGTTGTACCTGGCTTGCAGTAATAAAGCTCCACTCTCATTGATGGCCATACATTCCAATTCAAAGGTTGAAAACGGACATAACGAGCATAAAATCTTCGTTTCAGCTTGTGATAAACAACCGTGTTACTGTCGCTGTTTCCATCTAGTCTCTGAGCAAACTAAAGCAACGAAATCACCATCTGTTAACCAGACCTTGCTAACCAATAATCATTGACAACAATTAGTATTAAATCAATGGATAATTAGTGCGTGGCAGGCTACCCTCTTCTTCAAAAACGCATCTTTGTGTCGCAGTGAGTCTGGGGAGGTGGAAAAAAGAAATTGCGCGATTTTGTTCACATTTAGCATATTCAGAACGGAAATCCCATTATTTTACCTATAAATGTATCGCCTTGGTTTGTGCTAGAAGTATCCATATTTTAAAAAAATGCCATGATGCTGCAGTGGGATATTGTCTTCTTTAGGGGTGAAATAAAGTCTCAACCAAGCCCTGATGAAATGAGGGAGTTGAAGAATAGGGACGAGGGCTCTTTATTTGGAATGTACCTTAAATCTCCGAGGAGAGTTCCGGTAGCTATAAAGCAGCTTGTACTCGGTTACCCATTCTTCAGCGTCACCGCTTCCTTGCGTTCCCACACGATTTACAATGTTCCCCATGATACTAAGATCGACCTCAAGCCACTGTTCAGCATCGTCAATGCCAGCTGACCACGCCCTCTGAGAGAATAATCTGCCATGTTTTGCTGAATGATCAGCATTGCGTTCTGAAGAGGCACTCATTTTTCCGTCCGCAATTGCCTTGTTTTCTAATCCAAAAGCTTGACAATCTAATCGTTTATCAAATCAAGAAGAATATGTCATTAACACGTCCGGGAGGAATACTATACAACATGCGATAAACTATGTTAAAAGAAACTTTGAAATTCCAGACAGCCAGGAAGAAGTGCATCCGTCGATCTTTAGGGATTTGATAGATTGCTACAGCATATTTTTAGCATTTCGTCATTACCAGCATGATTTTGATGTATATTTTCCAAAAAAAGCAATGCTAGCAAAATTTGCATTTTTGTCTAGTTTAGCAGCACAATGCAACCATTTTTTTACGCGAGATGTTACGGGCAAATTTGAGAAACTGAATCAATTTTTTGTCTGCTTATTGTCGCATTCATGGAACCTGGGTCCCACAGGAAGCGATCTTAGCCTGACTAGGGGACTGCGCATAACTGACTAGCCCAGTTACCCTAGATGGCATCCATGCGCTCCTTTTTGTTTGATTTTTTTTAGTTCCCAGAGAATGAATTATGCACTCTTAGAGTTTCTAGATATGAATTGAATGATATGTTTGCCATTGACTTGTTTTTTGCATTGTTTTGAGGTATTTTTACCAAATTTGAAATAAAAAGTAGAAGCATAATTTCAGCATATTTGCTAAAATTAGCATAATCTACAAAAAGTAGCATAATTACTGGCATAATTTTGAGAAATATACGAGCACTGCTAGTAACATATTATGCTACTTTTTCTATCATAATCTATCAAAGCCTATCTATCCTTCGTCTGTGGACAACAGATCTATTTCTTTAATATTTATTTATTTGCCAAATAATAATGAAAATACAAAAAATATAAGATATGAAGAAAAAGAGAAGTGACGAGAAGACCTAAGAAACTACGGGAAGCTTAGAGATTGGGTCTCCTCTAACTACGGGCTATAGCTGTTTACATCAGGTGAAGCAAGAGATGACGTAAAGTCTAAGGTGGAAAACATTTCAGATTGTTTTTCACATTTACTTATGAATTTAATCCTTAGTATTTACTTAAGTAAGAAGGAGATTGAGACTTGATAACTTCGTTATCAAGTGAATTAAAAAACTTTTTTCCTTGAAAAAAAAGAAGAAAACTTCATAGTGTTTTTTTTTCGACAATGGGGTAGACAATAGGCCTAGGAGTTTCATGTCTTTTAAGAGTGGAATTGATTGCTTTCGAAGAAATTGTTTTAAAACATTGGGGGCAAGAATGAATTTTTGCAGGTATATACAAATTGTCCTAGTTGAAGCAAATTTATATCATTAAATTTTAGTATACTGAGTTCCTTAACTATGGGGTCTGTATAAGCATTGAAATAATGTGTTTTATTTGTGATCTTAATTGTGCACTTTTGCAGAATTATGAGACGGCAGAGATAATTCCTTTACTGGAAAGATATGTTCATTATCAATACTTATTTGAATATCACAATCCGTACGTTTTTCACGTGGTTTGAAGACTATGAATGTAGTCTTTTTTGATTTAGTTTGCTTATCTCCAAATTTAACATATCTAAAAGATAGCCCGGATCTTTATGCGACAAAAATACATTTCGTTGGCGAAATTTAATGTACTAGAAGCACTGATAAAGTCGTTAATGTTAACTAAGAAAGAAAGAGGTCCGGAGATAGAACCCTGAGGGACCCCACAAGAGACTCAATTTTTTAACGAACGATGGCCATTAAATTGAACATATTGCATTCTGTATGAAAAGTAACTTATCCACTCCAGTGCTAAGCCACGAATTCCGTAATGTTCGAGTTTATCAGAACAAACGGTATTATCTGGTCTATCTACGGTGTAGAAGGTAAAAAAAACAGCGATGGCAAATAGGCCCTTCCACGGCGTTATAAAGTTTAAATGGGGATCATTTGACACCGCTGAAAAAACACCCTAATTAACATTAGTAAAATTGCCAAGTCTTGAAGAAATACGTCTGTGAGCGAAGATATCGCTCCCCAAAGTCGCGGAATTTTACAGACGATTGTGTGGTGTGGCGCTCGAACTCCCTCTCTTCCCCCCTTCCCCCCCTTCAACCATACAAACGCAAACGTCTGTAAAATTCCCTGAATTTGCATAGCTATATCTTCATTAGTTTCCATCAAATCACTTTCAAACTTGGCAACTTTCTTTCTCCAAAAGTTGAAGGAACCGTGGAAGGATCTATTCACCTCGGTCAAAGGCCGTGAAGATCTTATTATACAAGTCGATCAGAGCAATTACAAATTGAAATCTAACAAGTATAGTATTTTTCTCCAGTGCTGCTAAATATGTTGTTCAATATTGTTCTATCTTTTTATCTAGGAATGAAATCTTACAAATTCTCTCAAAAGAAAGGTACCGAAGATATTAGATTGGCCTCTTAAACTTTCGTCAGGGAAACAGAATTTTTGGTTTGTGAAAATTGGTGGCCACTTGTTCATATTCATTAAAACCCATCGTGAGCCTCCCTGTGGGTACCTGCGGACGTCGTTTTCGTCGCTCGTTTTTCATCAAATCGTCGGTTTTTCACCGAAAACGTCGCATGTGAAGAATGGGCTACGAGCAAGCCGAAGTAGACACGACGACAACCACGAAAACGAGAAAATAAAAAAAACCAACAGGTTTAATGAGCAAAGCAAAAGACTTCGAACGTACAGTATATTAAGTTTTAGCAGATTTTCTTTTCCGTCATCGCACGACTGACGTTGAAACTTGATCGAAATAGCAATGTGATCGTCGTTTCATCAGCAGGGAATTTAAACGAATCTGTTGGCCCCACCGATGGGCGGCATATTTGCAGCTTTCACAAGAAAAAAAGACAAATGGCCGAGAAATTCCTGGCGGGCTAGGAACACTTGGAATTGACTGAGCCCTTTCAAAGAATTATTCAGGTAGTGAAACTAAACTTACCTTTAAGATAATAAACCACATTGGAATCGCTTCCACCTCGCTTTTCCGTGCAGTAGTCATTTGAATCAGGATGGCCACCTTGGTAAAATTTCGACGCCACAGAAGCTAACAATGAGAACAAGTACACAGTGAAAAGCAATTCGTTGATTTGTATAGGTTATAGCATGATTTGTAGTGATATTTGGCATTAATACCACGAGTGATATTTCGAAATTGTTATACGTAATTTCACGAGCCGTTAGGCGAGGGAAATTTGAGACAATTTTGAAATATCCCGAGTGGTATTTATGCTAAATATCACGTACAAATCATGCTATTATTTGTTTATACTACTACCCGCAAAAGGTTTGTAATTTTCACATGTAGGTATTTCAAATTAAGCTGAAATACCACTGCTCTAAGCCAATCAAATTGCAGAAATTTCTCATGTAGTGGTATAAACGGGGAAAAATCAAGAAAATTTTCATGATAAACTGGCACCTATAATAATTATTAAAAACTGGAAATTAACCCACAACACCACGCGTGCTCTGTAAAAACAGGGGAAACCGCTTGGGAGAAGGTAGATCACTGAATGACAAGTAACAACACACCTGCGGAACAGCCATTATCACCATCAACCGCAAAATATTTATGCCCCAGTTTCCAACAACACCAAGCACATCTTTCAAAAGCCTCTCTCCGCTGCAAACTTGTATTACTTAAGAGCCAGCAGTTTGAATTTTCTATGGATTCCATCGCCGGCTGTATATTTTTTCTTGAATCTGTGTACTCAGTGCTAAAACAGCCAAACTTTTCGATCGTTAGGAATCCTGGCTGACTACCATCTGTTAAAAAAGCGAATATATAAAAACGGAAATCACCTTTAGAGTAATGGTGGTAAGAGAATAAGGCTACAAGTGCGACGCACCTGCACTAATTGTTACGCTTATCAATACGTATTGCTTTTATGACGTTCGCATTGCTCTCCCGTTGTACCATTTTCCCCTTATTTTCCAAGGGAAAGCCCGATGGACGAGGTTGTCCGTTTTTTCATCTGTTAGGGACCGCAAGATCCGACAATGGCGACGGCAAAGACAACGTCATTCAAGATATATTTTAATACGCAAGAAAAGCCCATGATTGACGTAGGCTACATTTGACGAAGTGAGTTGAAACAATCACGGTGAAGTCAACGAAAGCATCAGTTTAAGCGACGTTTTCGCTGCCGCTGCCTTCCTCGAATCTTGAGTTCCCTATTACCTCGCGCTTGACCTAGCCTGTTTAAACTAACAGGTTCATGAAAAATCGCTAGTTGTTCGTCCCTAGCATTTTGCATAAGCTTTGTTTTCAATTTCTGCAGGTTACTACAGTCGTCTCAAGAGAAATTGAAGACAGCGCTTTTTCAAGAACTTTTATTGTTGAGGGTGTGGGGTGGTAAGTGGCGAATTGGTTTTTACCGATTTGGGGGGTACATGGTAGTCTATTACACAGGAGTGGTGCGTGGCGACGCTAAAAACGGCTGTCTAGCAGACTATGAGGTACATGGCGGCAAGAAAAAGGTATTGATATGGCTCAGTCTCCGAGCGAAAGAGAATATTGTAACGAACCTATAATACATGTCTTACCGCATCTTTCAAAATCAAAACGATTCATAATGTCGTTCAACACATCATTTGAACTTCTTTCCCCTTTTTGTAAGGTCCAGTCAATGACCTCATCCGCAGTCCTGTCGAGTACATCTCGATGAGCGTTTGCCTCTTTCCCCAAAGCCACAGCAATCACGTAGGTATTAAGAGGCTAAGCCGGAACGAAAAGAATGGAACAGTTAGACCTGTTTCAAACGTCGTGCTATTGCCGTGCTAAGCTGGCTCGACTGTAGCTCGACTGCAGCACGACACTAGCACGACTTGGTTTCACACGCCGAATTTAATTCAGTCGAAATATTAGAACAGCTGTTACCGAAAAAAAAAAGCAAAAATAAAGAAACGGTTTAGCAAACTTTTAAATATATTCTAATGTATTTTATAATTTATGAATTGAGTTCGGCACGGCGGTAGCACGACGTTTGAAACGGGTCTTAGTCTTTATTGTCACATACCGAAGCGAAAACCGCAGCACTATTCTATATTTTATTCAGCGTTCCCACTAGGTGCCGGGTGACCGAGTATTCTAGAGTAAGGTACTTACTGGGCACTAATACGAACACACCGTCATTTAAAATACCTGAGCTAGAATTCGGGCACAAGAGAGATCTTGTTCTTAGGGACATAAGAGGACACCGGGTCCCTTTGCACACACATTATTTGTTAAATTGGCGGTACTCCACTGCTTTGTATACCTTGTTTAAGCAATAGAAAACGTTTTCCGTCTTTGCATAGCCTGATATAAACACGAGAGGGGTTGGGACAATTCTCGACAGTTATGCAAACCCGAGACGAAGTCGAGGGTTTGCATAACTGTCGAGAATTCTCCCAACGCCTCGAGTGTTTATATCAGGCTGTGCAAACACAGGAGAAAAGTTTTCTATTGCTTTTATAAAATAACTTTCCCGTGAAAAACGCAAAACGGCACTGATTAAAAGAGAAATACTTTCCAGTCGCAAAGTCTTGTCCGAAAAGTCTTGCATGCGTAATCAGTCCTTGTTTTGCAAAAAGATGCTTTCCAAAATACCGATTTTTCTAGCTTAAAATGTCAGCTTAAGCGAAGAAAAATTGACACACCTTCTTTGCAGCTATTTTCCAAGTTTCAGCAGACGAAGGAATGGGTAAATAAAGTAAACTTGTTGAGTTTTGAACTCGAAAACTTTTTTTAATTCGTGCTTGCGTGATTAGCGCTCGAAAAGTAAAACATCTTGACGCCACAACCATGTTTACATACTCTCATCCAAACACTCCTCTCGGCCATTCAGAGCGCGCGTACTATCTTAGTTATTTTATAAGTACTTATAACTTACCGCCACGCTGGCAAAATGTATCTATATCATGCATAATTCAGTCTTTTAGTGTTATTATGTATTCGCGGGATGTGATCATGTTCTCTTTTTAAAAAGGTGAAGTATTTCTCGAACCCTCAATTTCTCGAAATATACCGTAATTTTAACCAACATTGATCTCCTTTAGTTCCCCAGTCAAACCGATGAAACAGGGGTATTTTTATCCCCGGTCCTCCAGTTAAAGATATCCGGCAGAGATCTTTAGATTCGAGGACTAGAACGACTATGACTTCGATATTTGAGTTTACTTTTTTTCGTGTATTTTTCTTTCTCAAAAATAGACACCTAGGAAAATTAGCACTGTTATCTTTATTAACTCTCCCGATCGCAAACTGATAAAACTTCTTTGCATTTGATAACCTGTTTTTGCCTCTTTTTGTTTGTCTTTGACATTCTCGCAATAACTCGGAGTAGAATGACGACGGCTATCACGTTTTCCCGCCGCGCGCATTGTATTGATAAAATCTCGTACTCTTAGTCATTCTCGTCTTAAGAACTAGCAGGGGCACCCGACGACAATTTTCGGAAGAATATCTGTTCGGAAGAAGAATTGAGATCTAGAATTTTCGAAACATTTGTTGTAAAATTTCTTGCTTGCCTGCCTCTCCTAGGATTTTCGAACATCTAAAAAATGGTATAATTGCCTATTTTTAACGGATTTTTACCCTTAAAAGGTCACCTAGAATTTCGGGGGCCTTTTTTCTGGCTGAAATTTTCGAAAAGATAAGTTTTGATCTCTATAATTTTCGGATGACTAGACTTTCAGCTAGGAAATCCGAACAGATAAAAAATTTTTAGGGGATAAAAATATGCCTATATCTACCGTTTGAATACTAAAATAGGTTTCACAATGCTATGTTTAAGTGGTTTTGAACTATATTCTCGTTGGGTGCCCCTGAACTAGGAGTCTATGTTTCTATAAGACCTTGAGTGTCGGCCAAGAATTTACTCCTATTAGTGAAGTAAGTTACCTTTGACTTTAATACTGCATCCAGTGCAGTTTCGTCATGTGTTTTGCCATCTGTGATAAGTATCACAATATTGGGAACGCCCTGTCTGTCCTGTTTCCCTTCTGTGGCATACGCTTGGAAAGCCAGGTCCAGTGCGATGTGAAGATTAGTTATGTTATGTAACTCTGTCATAGCTTCAATCTCTTTCTTGGTCGCGTATCCTTTGCCTAGGGTCCAACGCCTAAAGCTTGCTTTATCGTCATTTCTTAATACAGTTGCGTCTTGTCCAAATGGTATCACGAGGAGTCGAGTTTGAGTCGGTGAGACATAAAACCTAACAAACACCAACAATTCTTTAAGAAAATTACCGCATTCACTCGAAAAACTTCTTGGTCTTGTAACCACTGCCCGGAATAAACACCACACGCTTAAGAGCAACAAGAGATATTTGTAGGCTCTGCGCCTTAAACTGAGGAATTTACTTCACTGCAAGACGTGTAAAAAAAGAGAGTATGCCTCTTTCATGCTCTCTTAGTGTACCCTGCAGATATATGCTTTTTCAAACATGTATTCTTAAATCTCTTTCTCCAGCAGGGAAGTTAAGGAAGAAAGGGTTTGATCTAGCAGAAATGAAAAGAGTACCAAGGGTAACGCAATGCAACAGAAAAGCTACTCGTCTATAATTTTAAAACTTTAGGACAAGAGGTCCCGAGACAACGCACTAGTTTAATATTTACAAAACCTCTTGGCTTTCCGCCAGGATCCCTGGACATGAGAGCTCCCATATTAAACTGAACGGACAGGAATGCTCAACTTCTCGCTTACGAGTTGTTATTTGATTACCTGTTTTTTCTGTTGTTGTTGTTGTTTTTAAATTTACATTGTGCGCTTGCTTCAGTTTACCCGATCCTAGTTTCTAATGTAACGGATTACATTATTCTTCTTCTTTACATTATAACCTCTCCTTAGGGACACCTCTCTATTACGGACAGTTCGTTTGGTCCCAGAAATAGCAATAATCATACATTCCCTACCTCTATAAATCGGACACCTCTGTAAAGCAGACACTTGGTTCTGTCCCTTTGGTGTCCGTATTAAAGAGGTTTGACTGTATTAGTTTATATGCCATGTCAGTAACCCTGCTCACATTGTGGCTGGCTCCTCCTAAAACGATCTACAATTATAGCATAGGATTTAATAGGGCCGAAACTAATTCAGGGGCACCCAACGAGAATATAGTTCAAAACCACTTAAACATGGCATTGTTGAACGTATTTTAGTATTTAAACGGTAGATATAGGTACATTTTTATCCCCTAACAATTTTCCATCTGTTCGGATTTCCTAGCTGAAAGTCCAGTGATGCTTAAGTTATAGGGATCAAAACTTACCTTTTCGAAAACTTCAGCCAGAAAAAGGGATCCCGAAAATTCTAGGTGACGTTTTTAGGGTACAAATCCGTTAAAAATGGGCAATTATACCACTTTTTTAGATGTTCGAAAATCTTAGGAGAGGCAGTCAAGCAAGAAATTTTACAACAAATGTTCCCAAAATTCTAGATCTCAAATCGTCTTCCGAACAGATATTTTCCAAAAATTGTCGTTGGTTGCCCCTGACTAATTGTGATTGATCACATTTTAGGCATCCTATGCATACGAAAGTTAGAGATTTGGGGGAGGAACATTCGTCTATCGTCTGACCCCTTTCAATTAGACTGCTCAAGATGGAAAGCCAATATATATAAATACACAAAGCTGAAGCTTAGGGCAAGAAGGGCTCATATCGTTCTCCGGCTTGTTTAGGTTTGTGCATGAGGAAATATCTGTTTAAATAAAGCGCCGTTATACTGTGTATGGTGGGTGCCTTTAAAAAATGCCTGAATCATGTACCGGGAGCAGGAGTCGTAAAGGCTGATAGTGAATAGAGTATAGAGGTTTAATAAAAAAATCAAGATTTCATCTTGGTCTAAACCTAGTTATCGCGATACCTGTCAGTGAGGTCTGCAGCAAGAATCTTCATTTTGTTGAACAGGCTGGGGCCAATGCTTTCGGTTCGATCCAAGACCATTGTTAGATCCAACTTATCACAAGGAAAGGGAGGTGCTGAAAAAAGAAAACAGACAAGAAGTGATATTCTAACCACATGGGCTTCAATAACCGCTCGAAGAACGCCTTCACTTTTTTTATATACATGCACTCC